TAAAACCTTAAAAGTACTTGCTCTCTAAAAAATCTCAAAAGACCTAAACATTAGAAGATACAAGTTCTCAAAAAAATCTTAAGAGGTTAAAGCCTTAAAGGGCATGACTTCTCTGACAAATCTTAAAAGACTAAAACTTAGAAAATGTAAGTTCATTAAAAAATCTCAAAAAGCTAAAGCTTTAGGAGTGACAATTTCTCCCAAAAATCTTAGCAGGCTAATATTTAGAAAATATATACTCTATAAAAATCTTAGAAGAATAAAATGTTTAAATGAGCAAGTTCACTGAAAAATCCTAGAAGGATTAAGCCTCATAATATATTAATTCCTTAAAAAATCTTTAAATTCTAATAACAATCGAAAGCATAAATTTTTAAATTTTCTAAAAATCTTGAATATTATAACACTTAGAAGGTGCATGTTTTTTTCACTCATTTAAAAAATTTCAAAAGGTATAATTCTTAAGAGAAGTAGGTATTGTATTCAAATATAACTTTCAAAGAGCATAAATCTCAAAAGGTACATATTCTATAATAAAGATATAAACTGATTCAAAAGCTTTACATGATATTTAATAATAGATTAAATCGTTATCAATAAAGAGATCAAGGCTAGTTTTCTCCCACTAGAGGGCAATGTTTATATGTTTTTGGTTGAAAATTCAATTATAATTTATTAAATTTCTAATTGAACTTGAACATTTTAATACTTCTCAAAGACAAAGAATTCAGTCCCCTATTGAGAGCAAGGAATTAAAAATATGAATCACTCTTGCACGAAAATAGAGAGGTCATCAAGTATTGTTTCTTCATCAATTTGATTATAAAAATAATTAAATTTACATGACATAAAAATATACATTCAAGGAATAGAAAAAAAAGAAGTCTAATTTCATTATCATGAACAAAAATATTAGATCTCCATATCACCAATACACACTTCATCATAACTAAAGGTTTTATCAAGTCTTTTGTAGTCTTTAAAACAATCTCTTGCCCAATAAAGTTAATCAGCTAAAATACAACCCAAATATTTCTAGGGACATCAATGCCAATTGTACTATTTGATATCACCAGTGCTAACATCCAACATCAACATTAAGTTAAAAATCAAGCATTTTATTTGTAGCATATATATATATATATATATATATATATATATATATATATATATTTTCTTTATCT